AGTTACTGTCAACAGATACTAAGGCTAGAAGAGAACTCTGTAATAATGTAGTCTGACCTCCTGCATAACACAGGCCATAGACTACTTCCCTTTCTTCGTCGGGTAGATATTAAACAGATGCTTTAGACACCCTGTTAAAATATATATTTTGATCCACCGAAACATCAGACTATGCTATTCCTGCCTGAACTCCTGTAACATAATCTCACCATGATTGGTAAAAATTAATTTGAGAACATTAAGATTCAGAATAAAAGCAACAATATACAACTATTATGGTCTAACTGAAATTCCAATAATACTGGGGGGACTTAAATACATAGGGACTTAAATGAGTTGAACTGAAAACTTTCTAATGCAAAAAAGGAAAGTTACTTGCCCTTTCATTTTGTTTATCTTAAGATACCATCACATAGGATTCTCACTCCTGGGTCTTAGCCTTTTTAAGATGAAAATACAGCTTTTGTATTTAATCCATGGAGGGGTGCCATAAATGGTGAGCTACATGTACTACTGGTTATCATTAAGGCAAAGATTTTTGTCACAGATATTTTTAGTAACAGTCACAGACAGGTCACGGGCAATAAAGAAAAATTCACGGAAGCCTGTGACCTGAAAATATCTTTCTTTTTACTATAAACATCACTGACAAAATGAGGAGCCGCTGGGCAGCTGGCTGGGAGTTCCGGGGACCCCCTCACCAGGTATTGGAGGTCCAGGGGCCCCCTCTGCCCGCTTAGAGCTGGGGTCCCCCTCCGCTCAAGGCAGCCAGGAACTGCGGGGTACTCCTTGTAGTGGCCAGGAGCTGTGGGGTACCCCCTGCAGCAGCTGGGATATTTGGGGTACCCCCCGCCACCCATGGCGACTCAGTCACTGATTCCGTGACTTCCGCGACCTCCATGACAAAATCTTAGCTTTAGCTATCATGCATCACCCCGCCAAGTACGAGTCTCCTCATAACATTCCAGTCTGTTCCTCCTTGCAGGAGGCAAATCTCCCAAAACAATGTAAATATAAGATAGAAATGTGCCTCAAAAATAAGTGCAAAGCATTTTGCAAGACAAAAAACCCCACTTCAACAAATATCCTCCAAACTGAGGGAAGGTGGGCAGGTGAGTGGGAATCCTGCAAGATGTTAGTTTGAGAGAAACAAAAAAAATACAAGGAAGCAATTTTCCTTCTCCAAAGGTATCTATGCAGAATTCTCCCTCCCAGAAAGTAAGAAGCCTCAGGGATAGCTGAAAAGAAAATGAGAACAAATAAGTAATGAGGGCAAGGTTCACAGTTAACAAGTAGGTTTATATATATTTTAAAATCTACATCACAAGGAGGACTAAGATTCTTCTCAAAACTCAGAATCAAGCACAACATACAAGACTGTAGAATGAGCAAATGGGGGAGAGGGGCATGTAAAAATTTAGTCAACTGAAAATAATGGACATCCTAAAGCAAAACAAAATCTCTTTTGGTAAACGGAGAGAAGAACTTTTAGCTGCTTTGCAGATGTCTATGATAATGGAAACATCACTAAAGCAGGCTGGTGCAATAACCTTGGCTCAGGCAGAGTGACATAGCTGTCTAGTTCAGACCAAATAGGTCAAAGCAATGTGAAATGCAATCAGATAGTCATGTAGACATGGTCCTCTTGGTAACAGTATTCCCCAATGAACTAGTGTGAACTGAAAAAAGTACTTGGGTGGACTTTATAAGGGCTCTAGTCTGCTCCAAATAGGACCCCAAGGATCTTTAACATTGAGTATATAGAGAAGGGCCTCATCAAGATGGCCAGGCATGTGGATGCAGGGGGAAAATTTTGGCAGGATCATAGGCTTAAGGTGGAACTCTGACATCACCTTGGAAAGGAATCAAACTAGTCTACACTACCACTTTATCTTTGTAAAATCTGATATACCGTGGATAAGAGTCTGGGAGCCAAAGCTAACGTATTTTGAAAGCTAGAGGTATTGTCATCCAGAAAATGACCTTCTGTATAAAAAACCCAAAATCATAGGAATGGAGAGGAGGTTCAAAAGGAACTTTCATCAGTGTTGTCAGGACCACATCAATAATCCATTACAGAAGACCTCTTGACGGGGATTTTCAAGTTTATGAAGAGCTTGACAAAGGCACTGGTCTACTTTTGACTAGTTCGAGATATGCCAAAACCCAAAATATCTCCAACAGGAGTTTGGTATCACACCACCATACCTTCTCACAAGAAACATTCTATTCCCAAGCCTTCCCCTAGGCCAAACCCTCTTCATGGGCTGGAAAAGTACCTCTTTCCTTCACAAATACAGCCTTCTCACGATCTGAATGGTAACTACCAACTGTATGCCAGTTCTATCCTCATCCTGACTGCCTAAAATACACGCTGTGTCCCTACTGCCATTTCCCAACCTGAGGCAAGAATTGAAAACTGGCAGCAGTAGAAGGGAAAACAAGGACTCACTGGACAAATATAGACTGAAGAACTTTGTGCTTTATTTGTTTTGAGTATAATCTCCCTCAAAATGTACGAAGTTAAAACAGACTTTTTTAAAGGACAAAGATACTGATTTACCTAAGGTATACTGCAACATGTAGATACTCGCATGAAAAATATAATATAAAGCACTAAGTAGAAAAGGAGAAACCCATTTATAAGAATGTAAACACAACCTTATCTATGGCTCACTCTATGCTCCCATTACATATAAATTGCTCCGTCATTTCCAAAATGCCAAGCTACAACCTTCTCGTCACTTGAATCCATCTTAAACATATACTTATTTCAAAAGTCCCAGAAGTGAATCAATATGACAATACAAGCTTCAGAAAAATCAGTTATTTCCTCTTGTGGCCTCCCCAGAACATCCTGTCTATGCTAACTTGCTTATATTATAACGGAAGGAACTATTTTTAATTTTGGGAACTTGTACAATATTGAGCATATTGCTAGAGCCAGATATAAGCGAAGTTCTTTTAGTTTTTATATCTAGGTAAGTAAACATTAAGCAAAGACAGTTTATTGTATTTTTTCCTAAATAAAGGTTTTTTTATTCTTAAAATCCATGATGAACTATTGGCTCTTATATACCTGAATTTAAATATTAGTTAATCAAAACTAATGTTAAAATATATGTTTTGTATTTTTTCTACATAGGAAAACGTTTTATAAAGATACCTAAACATATTATTTATTCAACAACTTTTTGGGTACATCAGTATAAATCCTAAAGATAACATTCCATTTCACTATAAAAAATTCGTAATATCGTAATCAAGCGAAATCAGTAGAGTTGTGGTGATTTAACGTTAATGCAGTTTCATCAATACCACAAAGGCAAAATGATGCTATAAATCTTATGACATAACACAGTTGTCAGGAATGCGGTAGAATTTGAGTCTGATATAACACTAGTAAAGCTTGAATGGAAATAATTCAGCTTTTAGTAAATAGTTCAATTAAAATCATACCTACTCTGTTTTCTATTCTAATGTTTATTGTTATGTAAAGTTATGCTCAAATCCATAAAGCAGTAGATGAAGAGTCTCAAAGTTTGATTTCTTCTTCAAACCTGTTTTCAAAAGCCATTTTTAGCAAGGTATTATGTTAACAGTTCTAATATCACATATAATAAACATCAATATTTAGAATCTTAAGAATTAAATCAGAACCACCAACCCAATAAACTACACTAAATTAATTTTTTAATTTTTTATGATAAAAAATTTATCTATTTCTTCTAAAGATGACAGAATACAGGACTTGGAAACATCAGCAATTCAAGTGTAAGTCTGCAACAATTGTAGCTTGATGGCAAAAATTGTTACATTTTCCTTACATTATTTTCCTCTTAGAAATGGTCATTTAAACTAAATGTAGCTAAACTGAAGACCACATATAACAATGCATAATTATATTTTTGGAGGCTTATACAATATACAATACTTATATTTCATTCTAGAGACTAAATAGATTTCTCTAATTACAATATTCTGTATTAAGCAAATTCATTTATCAAAAACTGTTTATTCAGTAAGTGTTTTCTGTGCCTCAGTGACAGAACACTGGACAAACACACCCAAATAGTTCAAAACAGTATAATAGACAAAACACAGTACCTGTCTACATCTGAATCTCTGTAAAATTAGTTTGGAATACAGTACACTATTTTGTGGAATCGTTTTCTTAGCTGAAGTCATAGCAATAAATTACCCACTGACTTCTCCTAACATTGATTTATAATACTTATCGATTACAGTTGATCTTTTTATCATTGTACACATTACATGAAAATGCCACTATTCTGGTCTCCTTTATTGAACACTACTGTAAATTTGATTTAAAGATATAAACCACTTAGATCTATTTTAAAGGTACATCACTTACTAAGTCTAAGCATAAGGAGAAAATAAGCAGATGTAACGACTAATAAGACATTGTTAACTAGTTCACAAAGACTTCTGACTTCACTTAAGCTACCACAGATGCTACATACCACCCATATTTGAACTATGTTGCACAGTTTTTAAAGTCTCTGGCCAAAATTTTCAACCATAGGTGCCTAAAATGCTCTTAAACGGATATGCAGAATTTAGGAGCTGTGGATTTACCAGACCACGTTCACTTAGTAGCCTAAAACCAAATGTAAGAGACTGACTTTAGGCACCCACGTTTGAACACTTTTGGTCGCAGACTTTAAACAGAGTGTTTGCTGAGTGCATCAGTGAGACACTTACTATCGCAGCACTCACATGACCACCGCTTTGACAGCCCAGAACCAAACTCCCTCTCTGAAAGGCTCTGCTTCAGCGCCCGCTGCTCTCGGGGTCCCGGGCTGTCTGGAAGGCTCCCCCAGTCCAGCCAGCTGGAAGGGACAGCTCCACTCCCGGCCTCCCTGGGGACCCCCCACCCAGCACGCTCCTCACCCCCAGCCAGCCTCTCCCCTCGCTAACTTCAACCCCACCCTTCCCGGCGCCTCGCCCCGAGCCCCAGCCGGGCCCCTGCCCCTCACCTGAGACGCTTCTCTTCTTTTTCCGCTCCCGGTCGCTCTCGTAGAAGCCCAGGGTTTCGGTTCGCTGCGGCGGCTGCCCGGAGCCGCTGGCAGGCGGCCAGGACTCACCGCTCGAACAGCTGCTTTTCTGCTCCCCCCTTCCCGCGTCCTGCTGCTGCTGCTCCGGGGCGCCGCCTCGCCTCCCGTCCCCGCTGCTGCCGGGAGCGGCGGCATCAGCGACGCCCGCCATGTTCGCCTCCAGCAGCGCAACAAACTCCACTACTCCGCGCCCCCAATGTGCGTCATCGCCATGCGACGCTCACGCCCGATCCTGACCGCCTCTCACGTCCCAGGGAGGGAGGCTAGAACTCCGGGCGCCATCTTGCGATAGGCAAAGCCATTGTTAACCATTTACTTTCCACGGGCCTCCTACTGAACTAGAGCTAAAGTTTCAGCTCTCTCAGGCCTCACACAAACCTGCCCACGGCCTGAGGGGATCTGGCGCTCAATCTACTCTAGGTCCAGCTCTTTAGATGCTATTAAGTCTGGGGAGAGGATTTAATACAGAACGGACCTAATGGGCCATTCTAGCCTGGTATCCTGCGGGAAGCAGCGCGGGCGAGGGATGTGCCGGCCATGGCTTCCCGTCGCCCCCATTGTCCTGGGACTACAGTGACTAGATAGCAAGTGTGAAAAATCGGGACGGGGTTGGGGGGTAATAGGAGCCTATATAAGAAAAAGCCCCAAATATC